AAGATGTGCAGATCTGTAGTTGCCACTATTTGTAGAACCATTTGTTCAGAGTCTTTTAGGACTTGGTCTTCAGAGACCATGAAGTGCATTAGTGAAACGATCATCAAATATTGGCCTGCTCTTATTCCTTTTAACTTCACTGGAAACATGACTGACAACAGTATAGTCATGTGTCAATGTGTTTCATTGATAAAAACATTATGTTCAAAATTCTTTCCTTATTTGTAGCTGGGGGCTCAGTTTTTGTATTGTTTGCAGAGCTGAAAAGAAGTATAGTGTCAGAGTGACTCATGAATGAAAGTTAAATAGATTGCAGTGGGTGATAATGCAGCCTGAAAAGGCTGGGTAAATATAACCCCCAGAAGGGAAATTTACTGTATTTTTTCCATGAAAGATCAGCTGAACATTTGTGTTTATCAGTCAGGAACGTAACAAGTTCTGGCTAGTTCCTGTATTTTAGAAACTTTTCACCTCGCAATTTCGATGCTTTATTTCCAAGCTCCCAGGAAGAATTTAATTTAAATTTTGGCTTAATCTGGATTCTATTATAATTTTTTCACAGAGAACAAAATCAGGACTTTTATTTCAATGTTGTAAAGTTTTCATTTTGGGTTTTTCTCATGAAGAAATCGCAAAATGAAAGTGTAACTCCAAAGTGTTTCTTCTCAAAGCTGCACAGCACTTCACATCTGTCCTGACTTGCATAACCCTTACTTTGCATTGAACAACCATCTTTTTAACAGGGAGCTGTTAAAATGTACTGTTTTCTGTAGTGAGAGGTGTGGGCAAGAAAAGGAAAGATTTTCAATTGCCATTAAGAGAACGCTGGCTTAATCTAACTTATTTTCTTTCTCTATATTTTAAATTTCCTAAAATAAATCTCTTCAACTGCTTTCAGGAAAACAGCTCACATACCCATTCCCTGTCATTTTATTTCCAGATGTCTCTTTGACTTCCTGCTTACAAACATCCTCTGTAGGCAGGGAACAAAAGAAACAAGTCCATTCCTTCAGTTTTGGTTAGAGGCTTGTCCCATCCAGAGTATATCCACCACATTTATTTTCCTGTGTGTGCTGTGGTACTATGCGTGTTTATTCAGGTAGTGGTATATCATCCACAGAAACACCTTCCACAAGGGAAGGTTTTCACTCTTTAGGGAAAAGAGCACTTGGATTACCTATGTTCAACTCTGAAAGCTGTTGCATTTACTCTTCCTTTCTCTTGCAGTCAGTTTTGTGTAATATCTTTTGAGTCCTCTTTGAACGGAGGGGTGAAGAGCCTTAATTTGGCATTATAGAAGAGACTAGAAAATTGATGCTGTTTACGACTTGCCAGACATTATGTACAAGAAAATACACAAGGCAAAAGTAACCTTGTAATGGGCGAATAATTACATTTGTCCTTCCTGTACAGTTGACTGCAAGTAATAAAATTGCCTGTGCAGTCACACCTGGTAAAATGCTACTGCTTGTTCTTCCTCTTGTGTTATATTGAGTGTTACACAGGTATAGGTGTAATGGCCTCAATTCACATTCCATGAAGCTTTTTCACCGTTTTTGGGGAGATAAACCAATGAAAAGTATTCCAGGTTCTTTGTGGTATAACAGAGCCACTGTATATTGAAGCATGAATGATGTCAATTTTGGAATCAGTTTCAGGGAATTATTGAAAAAACAATTTGGAAACAAGTTCTGAGCCCTACTCAGGGTGGGGCCAGCTTCAGAGCCAGATGAGATTGCTCACAGGATTTTTTCCAGAGAAGTTTTGAAAAATCTCTAAGGATAGAGACTCCACAGAACCTGCCCATTAACCAGGTTGTAAGTTTTGGAGATAAAAACTCAATCTCGGAAAAATATTTGGGAAAATATTTGGGAAAATATGTAATTAATTAACTCGTGTGTATGGTGTATTATTTCTGGCATATGTTTGTTTTTTTAATAGAAATTTCATTCTGTTGATGCTGCATTAGAGTAAACACATGAAAAACATGAAGAGGCGTGATGACTGGTTGAGATAAGCTGAGAGAATGGGAGGCACCTGAGAATTTCACCCCCACCCAGCAGATGGGTGATGTTTTGCAGGACAGATCTCTGTTTCTTCTTCCTTTCCCCTCTGCTGAGCAAAGTTAGACTTAGACTTTCCCTGAATGCAGGTTCTGTACTGCTTTAGTGACAGACATGATCACTGGGCTCTGAGCACTGTTATAAAAGGAGTTTATTTCTCTGTGCATTAAAAATTATCAGGCAAGGGAGTAACCTCAGCTGCTACATGAAAATTTAACACTGGGGATAATATAGGTATATTGATGAAAACCAATATATATGTAAGTGGGATTACAACAGCATTATGAAAAGAAATGCTGGGTGAGAATGCGGATATGTAATTATTTATCATACTGAATCAAGTAGAGATCTACACCTAATTATTTCATGGTTATGAGAACAGTTTCAGCCAGAAAGGTGAAAGGAAGGTCAAGTCCAACCATGCAGGATCACGGTGCATTTACCTGAGGGGAAGAGAATAGAGGTTTGGCTGAACAAAGACATTTACCTGTGAAATAAGTTTCCCTGTTCCTCGAAGAGGGACAATTCCCTCAGCACTGCACAAGAGGCAGACAGAGCATTGTTGGGGGAGCTTAGGAAAAGCAGCAAACTGCTGCCACCTCAGTATTCCCGTGAAAAGTGCACCTCTAATCCATATATACATACATATATAAATATAAATATGTATTTACATATATATTTGTGTGCTGTGTAACCAGACTTCACAGCCACCCTTTCACAGAAGTCCACTAAGGGTTACTTTGGAAATAATCTTGATATCTTCCATGATAACAAAAAATTCCCTTTGTTCACAGATCCTAATCCACTGCAAACACTTCTCACAATCTCTGAGCACTCAAAAGCTTTTCAGTATTTAGAGTACATTCCAGCCACTGTAAGTTATCCTTAAATATCACTTTCAAATGTTTACATTTGTGGAAACTTACTTTTCTGCTTTTTCTTTCTTCCTATCTTGGTCTCACGATGACCAAATTCTTGTGCAGTTTTTGGTAGTGCTCATTAACATCAACAGTTTTATTGTGAGCCCATGGTTAGAAAACCCGTGATAAATAACTGCCCAGATCCCTCCCTGCCCTCTGTGCTTCTGCATGCTCAAGAAGTGTCAAGTTAAGCTCAGCCCACCTGCCTGAGCTGGGCAGGCCAGTGGTGGTTTCTTATGGTTATTCATAGCGTGGGGTGCAGCTTCAGTGGGCAGCTTTTTTAATAATGTAATCCAAAAGTGAAAGGGTAATGTTTACCAGACCTGTTTCAAAATGGCTGATTAATCAAATAAATGGGTGTTTATTGAGGCCGTTGCTAGGTACTTACTGTTATTGAGATAATTGTATGACTCAGCTAAGCCAGACAAAGAGCTCTACTGTTGCTTTAAAGCACCGACTGGCCAAGTTTGCATCTTACACCAGAGTAAGGGGAAAAACTTTGCTCTTTCTTCTTAGCTTTTTCACAAAGCTAATAACTTAGTTCATTTATCCTCATATCATCCACTTCTTCAGCCAACTTAAAATGCCTTCTTGCCATAAAACCCAGAATAAAACACTGACCCTTCTGCAGAAGCCCTTTGCCTGCAACACAGGCATGATGGGTTTTCACTATTGAACAAAGGGGTTGGGACAGACCTTGCTTTTGTGGACTTTCTATATTATATTAATGATATTTATTGTATTTTTTATTATTATATAATCAATTATATTACATTTATTATATGGTATTATACATGCCTTTTTCTGCTAAACATCTGCATAAACCAGAAGGTCATCACCATTAAAAGCACTTGTTTAGAAAATATCTGGGGCAAATTTTGTGAGGAGAGGTAATCTGTCACAAGACATGGTGATAAACATGGAAAAAGCTGACAAGCTTTCAGGCACACAAGCCCTGCTTCAGGTCAGACTTGTTGCCTGAAAGCCTCTCTTCTTTTCCAACTAGTCATGTGGTTTTTTTCCAATAAAAGCTATTGCCTCTCCCTGGAGTTCTCACTGCACAAAGTCTTAACTCTCACTGCTACAAAGACAAGGCTACGATAATCAACAGTACTTCCTTAGCAGGCTATTAATGGAGATTTTATGATAGAAATTGCATAATACAACTCAGTGCCTTACACTTTTCATCTAAAAAATGGATTTTTTTCTTTTTTTTTTTAAGATAGCTACTAGTGTGTATAATTATAGACAGCTCTCCTCACTTCTCAGAGGAAAGCTTGGAGTACACTGAGTCTGATGTACAGGAAGAGTTTTACATGTGCTGATTTCAGGGAACATGAAGAACATATACCTGTCCTCCAAACTCCCTCTAACTCATATGTTGTATTTATTATTTTGATCATAAAAATAGGTTTTTTCTCATTCCAAAGTAGCATGCTTGTGTTCTGCTGATGGTAGTTTGCATAGCTGAGTGAGTGATAAAGGATATTTGAAATCAGAGGCATGTTTACTTCAAGGCATCAGTTTCAAGTTGCACCAGTCCAAATTTGGAGTAATACTATCAGAAGTAGTGTTATAATCAGATTTACACTGATCTATCTGAGAGGAAAGTTTAACCCTGGCTAGTCATATTCTGTAGCTGGTTTGTTGGCTTTTTTTAATCTTCACCAAGATAAATTATATATTACAATGAAGCAGTATTTTGCTAGCTCAAGATTGTACTTTGATTAGAAAATCTTCTGGTTTATGTCAGAGAGATCACTGCTGTTCAGCAACCAACACCTTCATTGTCTGGAAATGCTCAACATTTATTCAGAATGTTCCACTAACATTTTCTTTACTGTAACATCCAGGTATAACTGAGAAAATTACATCTTCCCTTTTAACAAGTGCTGGAGGTTTATAGATCAAGGTCTGAACCAGGCTTTGAACCTGGAAGTGGGCTGTGTTTGAACTGCCTAACCCTTTCTTTTGATTTCTTGAATTAATGTTTTACTAGAAGAGGTTTCACTGAAGGAAGAGAGCAATCCTGCTGCTGATCTAACACCTGTTACACTCCCAAATATCTTATTGAAAAAAAATGTAACGCCTAGGATGGATTTTTTTGCTTTTACTGGCCATGAGCACAAATCATATTAAGCATGTCCTGGAGTCTGGAGCCAGCCTCCCATACATATCACACTTTCTTAATGGTCTTTGTGGATATCCAGAATGAGAAAGATGGGAGAAATATCATCAAAACCAGCCTCTGTACAGAGCTCCTCTCTTCCTACAGCTTTGGGCAGGAGAGAAAATTTTGATATCCAATTATTTTACAAGCCAAATGTTAAAGGTATGTAACCTGCATGCTCAGTGGCTGTTAACCACCTTTTTTGACAATGTAGTTTACTAACAAGTTCAGCAGCAACAACTTCCCTTCAAAACCCTTCCCCTCAGGTAGAAATTTGTATTTTTAACTCAGTTATTCTTGGGTTGGGGTTTTGGTTTTTTTAACCCAGATTTTGACTACCTTGCATTTTCACTGAAAACAATGGAAGCATATTTGGTGAATGGGGTCTAGATACTGAAAATACTTAGTCTTTCAGCCCTTTGAGGCTTGGGAAAAAATATAGCACACTTCAATTTATAGCTGACTCCTCTTCTAAATTCCCAAAATAACCTCTGGGTTTGGGTTTTTTCCTTCCCCCCCCCCCCTTTTTTCTTTTTTTTTTTCCTTTTTTTTTTCTTTTTCCCCTCTTTTTTGTCTGTTTGCAAACAAACAGAATGAAGGAATTTTTTTTTTAAATGAAAAGTTTTAGTTCTTCCAGCTAAATATTTGCATTCCCCTCTTATATAGCCCAGCCAGACCTTGTTTTACAGACTGCAAATCCTCAAGTGTTTAATTCTACCAGAAGACACTGATTCCTTTCATTCCTTTTACATTACCAATTCCTTGGACAGTGCTAAACAGAGTGGGAATGCTGATCCACACCCTTGGTCCTCCTAATTTGCCATTTTCCCAAGGGAGAAGGAGTCTGTTTGCCAGTGGTGGAAGCACTGCCACCTTCAATCTGAGCAAGCACAACTGGCTGGACTGGTGAAATTGTTTAGGATTCAGGCTGCCTTGTAGCAGCCTCATTACGCCACACCTTGGTCATGTGCAATATGAACTGTCTTGATGAAGGACAGATTGTTTATTTTTGTTTTAACCCTGTAATCTGTTAATGTATTTGCACAGTTTCAAACAGTGGGTGGGAAAGAGGGAGCGTATGAAGAGAAAGCTGTATCTGAACTTTACCACTGCTGAATGACTTGTCCAATGAATGTATTTACCAGAAATTAGAGGAGTCATAGGAAAACAAAAGCCAAAATATCTGGCATTTGGTGCTCTCTGATCCGTAAGATGAAGCTGGAAAGGTGATTCTGTACTTTTCTCTGAAGGAAGTGTATGTATTTGTGTTGTTTGGATTATATTTGGAACATTTACCATCCTATCCAGGAGCACAGACCAGCGTTCCACTGACACCAACCTGTCAGGCACCTCTGTGCTGCAGGGAGCACCTGCTCATGCCATACATGGACCAGGGGCAGGATCAGTGCCTGGGAATAGCCTTGAGAAGATGGAGGGTTGTGCATTCAGTGTCTGCCCCGTTCACACCCCTGCAGCATCGAACCAGTCCTGTGAGTGGAGACCCCCTGACCCTTCCTGAAGAGCCTGTCCAGATCTTCCCCAGACAGAGTAAATAAGTCAGGCACGTGGTCCTGATGGTGCTGGAGGATTTCCTTACCTGCAACAGGACTTCTGCACATATTCCTCACACTGCAGTGCAAAGGGATGCCCTGAGCTAACATATTTTGCAATATACGTGTCCTTCAGTGGGACAGTGACTTTGTTTACAGCTCTAAGCTGCTCTGTCTGGCCGTATCCTCACGTCTCTCTGCAGTTGCATCACTTTGGCTTTGTTAACCCTCACCTATGGTTAACAGCCTGAGCTGCTGTGCAGAGTACATAGCACAATGAACTGTGAGGTGAAATTTGCAATATGTCCTCATTTCAACTTTAAAATACTAATCTCTTAAATAAAAACAGCTGCACAGAGCAATTAGCAGGCATGAAAATAATAAAAAAAAAGCTTAACAATTCAATTTGGGAAGCCTCTGAAGTGTCTGTGCTCTTCTCCCTGAGAACTAGAGCCCTTTAAAGTTCAGTAAATAAAAGACTTCTCCCCCTCGCCCCCACATCCAGGCACAAAAGACATTTTCTTTCAAATATGAAGATTTAAAAATAAATATTAGAGAGTCACATGTGCATGCACAGAAGCACACACGTGTTCACATATCCCAGTTAAGCTGCTATGGTCTGTAGCTATAGGCAGATACACTTTGAAATTGGAGAGTCTGTTTTGCTTAAGAGATATGGGAAACACTTTGGGAAAGTGTTAAAGAGCATATAAGTTGCATGCTGGAGAAATGTAGTACCAAGGCATTTTCCTGTAGCAGAACAGTGTCAGTTTATTCATGATGGCAGTGCTTGAATTAAAGAGACTAGGGGGTTTTGAAGAAACTTGCAGAAGTAATCAAAAGAGAGTCCTTTCTGGAAATTTCACTGGATTTCTTTTTCCAGAGGCAACCCAATCACCTGATGCCTTCAGTTAGCGATGAAGGAGCATGCTAAGACATCCTTATCACCTTTCAGTTGATCACAGGGGTTTTCTAGATCCAACTAGGACTTTGTACCGCTGCTGGGAGCACTGCTACTTCTGCACCTCCTTTGCTGTGGAGGTGTCACCCTGCCTCTACCACTGAACCCTGGCCAAGGGCATTGGAGCCAAGGCTGTCTGCCAGTTTTCCACCACAGCTTACTGTGTGACCCATGATGGAGAATTTTGGGGGTGCATATGGGGGCAGACTGGTGGTGTATCCCTCCCTTCTTCCCTCCTCACTTTTCTGCTTTCTTAAATAAAAATTAAGAATGGTGGTCTTAAGCAGACACCTAGAGAAGAGCAAAAACTGGATGAGTGTATAGAATGCTTCTCCAAGTACTTTCCCAGCCTCCAGCTACTCCAGAATCAGGAGTTTTCTGAGCCTGTTCAGGAAAGCTCTGTTTCAAGCCTCTCTGTGAAGCCACACAGCACATCAGCACATCAGCACATCAAACTAACTCGGAGTGATGAAATCCTCCTGGAATAGCTGTTTCCCAATCCAGACAGGTCAGACTCAGCTGCCAGAGGTTCCTCACACAAGTATGCAGACATGGGGGAAACCAAATGACATCTCCACCTTGGCAACTGGCACTTACCCATATCCATGCAATGAGCCTGAAGGTTGAAAACAAGATGCAATTTGCTGGAGAATGTCCAGTCCGCTACCTGGCCCCAGAAGAAGCAACCACAGAAGGTTCCAAGCTGCTGCTCCGGCAGCTCTGAGTCCTCTGAGCAATCCAATACTGTCATTTACCCTCCTAAACTATCTCCCCACCACCTGGGTTTATGCTTGGTGGCTTATGGTGAACCTACATCACCTTAACCCTTCCCACCATTATGGCAACCTCAGCTCTGGGCACAGTCTCAGGTAAGTCTGCATCAACCCCTCTCTGCAGAGGGACGAGGCACATTTTGGCAGAGGCCTCATTGCAGCAGACCCTCCTGAGCAGAGACCTCCCATCTCTACCTCTTCCCGTGTTTTATTTCTCCCCCATGCTCCTTTGCCCCGTAGCTGCAGGCTACAATTACTAATAGCAACTAATAAAGCAGCAGAGCAGCTCCAGATGAACTGGGAGAGGTCAACCTAAAAGCAACGGTTTAAGAGCAGCGAAAAACCAATTGTCCAAGAGCAGCCTGAAAGCAATTACACTCCAGTTAACATTACCCCTCCGCATAAATAACTCCTCCTGACCTCTCCGAGCCTTTGATTTGCTCTGTTTGAGAAGCTGTGCTGCTGCTGTCCCCCAGCAGGTCTTACCTTTCTCTCTCTGTGCAGCCATTTGGGCTGGGACATTACCTCTACCCACACCAGCTCACCTGGAGCGAGTGACCTCAGCAGGGTCTGCTCTTCCACTGGCTCCTGGCAGCTCCGTGTGATAGCATCAAGGGGCCTCCTCACAGTGCTCTGCAGCATCCCTTCAATATTCTTTGGATTATTTTTACCTTTTCCATGAAGACCAACAATGTACAAATGGTGTCTTGAAGCTTTTAAAGCTCCGGTTCGGTATCTAAAAAGAGGAGCTCTCCTGCTATTTCCCGAGAATGTTGTAGAAGTGGAAGGGGCCACTCAGCAGGTAGTTGAACAAAGTGCCTTTAAGCCAAAAAACCCAACCCTTCCCATGTGACCTTATAGGTGTTAAGCCTTGACATGATTTCGAGCAAGTATCTGAACCAATTCATACAAGACAAAAGCACAAGTGCATATGAAGTGCAAATCCCTCCCTCTGGTGCAGAAGGCCTTGTGCCATGAGTCAGGAGATGGGACACCACTGTGAGCAGGCTGGCCACGTGTTTGCCCCAGTTCCCTGGCCTGCCTGGACCAGATGGGACAGTGACAGGGACAGGACATCACACTGGGTTGGATGTCTGATCCCATCTGGTTGTGTGCAGCCATCCTTGTGCTCTCTTGTAGTGTGCAGTATGAGTGTGGGGGAAAAAACTTTGGCTGATTTTACATGATAATGAATATATTTGTAAGGGAAATTGCAAAATGGGGTGACTACAGCTCAGCCTCTTGGGTTTGCTCATCTTTTAGACTCCTTCCACCCCTTTCCTTCTCAGTTCAGCCACAGCCCTTACCCTTTTCCAAGTGTTAGATTTGAAGGCCTGATCATATCATATCAAATAAAAGCTCAAATCTGTTTTTTTTTTTCCAAGAGCAGGGCCAAAAGTGAAACACCTGTGTTTTGTCTGGATTCAACCCCAGTCTCTGGCTGAGATTAGAGATACCTGAAATTTGGCTGACACAGCTTAAGAATCTCAGTAGCCTTGATGAAGTGGGGAGGCAATGTCTGATTTTTGACAAAAGTATATTTTGGGGAAAAATCTTCATGTTCTAGTTGAAGTCCATGCAGTTATCCCTATTCTGGATGAATCATAATAAATCCTTTATCCTAATTGTACTAAGGATTTCATCACAGAGCTCTCTGCAGAGATTATGACATGAGAAGAGGAAAAGAAAATGGTTGCAAAATATGGAAACTGCAAAAGAGACTTTTGCATATACTTATGCTCTGTAACAATGAACTAGCACTGTCCAGGCCCCCAGTAAATATTCAGAGCATTTTATAAACACAAAAAGCTTTGGGAGTTAATGAGAACACAATACCTGGGTGTTGCAAAGCATTTGTGCTAATTAGATGAGCATCCTTTACCCAAACACAAGGACGAAATGTCACATAAGGGAAGTAGCAATGAAGATTTTGCAAATGAATGCCTAAATATAAATTTTTCATCTATAGGAAGAACCAAAATCTGTAGTTTGGTCTTCAGAAAAGATGTCAATAATCACTGCTGTTGTCAGGCATGTCTGAAATTCAGAACACTGTTTAAATACCTCACTGTGGAATTAAGAGTCTAGTTAATATCTTGCTGCTGATGTCTCACCTGGTAAATATTTGAGGAATTTGCTATAAATATTTTTTTTCTGCATTTTTTCTCAGTTGAGTATAAATCAACAACTCCTATGAATTTTAAAGGTAGATGTGTGAAATTCCCTGCTGCACAGTATATAGGAACTCCAAGTATTCAATAGAAATATACAGAAACTATCAAGATTTGAATATCAGTTGTTGCTATTTTTACGCTAAAATATGCTAGTTGGGTGTTAATGTTCTGATCTTGCAAATATTTATGCCAATAGATAACTTGATTCAACAGGCAAACATTGCTTGCATGTGTGACATTAGTTACAATCAAAAAATGTGCAGGACTGAGATTTCATCTTGTAAACCTCCACTTGCTGAAATTAAAATCATAAGAGGTCACAATTTTGTTAACAGTATACATTTTGACAATGTCTTTTGGATATTTTATCTCATAGGGCACCATCCATAATTTAAATGCTTATTTATTGGAGTGGCTCTATTGCAACCAGGTGCCAGGACTCTTTGTACATTCTACATGAAGGAATACAGGATCACCCATCTGACTCAGTCTCCCTTGTGTTTCACTGCAGCTGCCCAGAACTGATCTGGAATCTCAACAGCAAAAGTCTTTTCACTAGGAAATGTCAAAACACAAAATCCAGTATTTTTTCAGAAATATGTTTGGTTTGATCAAACCCACTTTGAGAGCTGTTTTTAAGAGTTAAAAAAAAAAAAGTTCTGATTAAATTTAGAGCGATCCATTGCAGACTAGCAGAGCAGACAAACATCTTTGCCAGCTTTCAGGAGCTCTATTTCCATTGACTGGTTTGGCTCAGGCAGAGCAGAGACTTTCACCTTATTCTCACACATATGCAGCCTAACTGTTCAGTTCACCTTACTCTTCACTCTCCGCATTTTCTGGCCAGTCCCAAGGGTAGTGTGTACTCCAGGCACATTAGCACATGTTGGGAAATACAGCAAAAGCATACAGTTCTGCCAGCTCTTTAGAAGGGCAGCAGCACCACACTGCGGGTACATCCATGCCCTGGGAATGCACCTCACCTCTGAACAGTAACGAAGCTAAAGAACTAAATTGTACAGAATGGAATCAATAAACATGTTTTACATGCTCAGAACTCTTTGTGATATGGTGACCTTTTGTTTTTTATAGGGAATCTATCCAGCTGCCTATCAGGTTATTACAGCATGGAAGTTGCATCATTCCCAAGTACACTACAGAGAGCACCAATGTAGAGGCATCAGAACAATGAAATACTGTGACAATTACTGTGTGGGATATAGCTCTTGTCTTACTAAGCAATCTGTTTCCCACTCCTTTAGAGCAACCCGATTATGCTTTCATCAGTCTTGCTTTATTCACTGGCAGGACAAAGATTACAAGGCCTTTAGAAAACAGCCTGAGATGGAAGAACCCTTTTTAAACTATTAAACTCATTTCAGTCCCAGGTAAAAATTTGTTTTAGGTAAAGACAATGTAAAACCAGATCAACTGGAAATTCTTGTCAAGGACTTAGAAACAAACAACTGCTGCACAGATCATCCTAACTTCAAACCTCTTAATGGAATAATTTGTTTTTAATCATCCATGAGATGGAAAATATGAGGAAAATGCCATATAAATGTCCAAGAATAACAGCGGTTAGTTGTTTGGATTTAAAATCAAAGGCAGTTTCCATGTTGTTGAAGGATTCCATACCAGTGGGCCTGAGAAAACTCAGGGTGTGGTAGGCTTCCATCTGCCGAGGACAGGAATAAGTTGCACTTGTTCTCCTGATATCTTCCTGCAGCTTCTCATGCTGAGATAGCACTGCAAGGAGTTGTGCTGATGGGGCAGCGTGGCTTCATGCTCCTTGGGGGTGAGAGAACCTGGTTTGTATCATTCTTCTTGTTGAGATACTTCCCTAGTTTCTCTCCAGAGATGCTCTGCAAAAGGCTCACCTGTACCCTTGTAGGTGTCAGCAGGCCCTGGCATGGTGCTACCCCGGGCTGCCAGTGCAGGTACCCTGCCAAGGGCTCAGAGTGGTAGCAAGTCTAGAGACAAAGCAGTTAAAGGTCCACCTTGGAAAGATATCTCTGATTACCATGGCGATAAAAATTAAATGCTTCTACCCCTTTGCAGGGACTCCCAAGCCTGGCTTGGGACAGAAAGGAAATAAATTTTTATCGTGGGGAAATGGAACACAGAAAATCTCCAGCGCACCTGTCTGCTTCTTTTGGTGCCTAAATACCTTTGAAAGTCCTGCCTTGAGTGCCAAAGTGATGATGGATCACACAGTATTTCCTTTTTATTATTGCACTGCATCCTTTGGGCCTCACATTAACATAATTAGGGCCATATGGCACCAGAATTTCTGTTGGTTCAAACTGATGCAGATCCTTTGAAGTCAGAGAGCCTGTGCCAGTTTATACCTGCTGAAGA